GGATCAAACTGGTGCTGCAGTGGCTGTGGATTGCTTCATAGTGATGCCACTTAATCCCTTGCTCCCCCAGGGAGGCCCCAGTCTGTACCTGTTGTGGAAAAAATTGTGCTCATAAATTGCTGATGGGAGGACAAACTGGTACAGTTTGGACAATACTAAATGTATCTAAAGCTTGAAAATTTGCAAGATTTTTAACTTATTTATCTCACCAACATACAACAATAGTTGCTCATTGCAGCATTCTTTATGAAATTCAAAATGATTAAAAAAAGACCTAAAATAGGAATCACATAGAATATCACTTAGATAAATCATGGTAAATTATTACAACATACCGGAGAGATAGATTTGTTTTTATAGTATATAGTGAAATAATAAAACAGATTATAAAAGATTTTAGAATACAGTCCCAAGTTTATTTAATTTTAATTGACTGGTAGAATGACAGCAAAATATAAAGAATAGTTACCTCTGATTTATGGGGTTTATTATTTTCGTTCTGATTAATTAGCAGTGATTTCTAATTTTTTTCTAGCCTGATTTGATGAGTAAAACAAGTAGAATTTTTGTATTTCTATGAATTGTGAATTTTACAACAGGATACTGTGCAGCATTCAAGAGACAGAAATTAGTATATTGTTAAGCTGTCTGTGCTTTCCTTGATGTTAGTAAACTAGGACGTGCTGTTCCTTAACCAAATCCAGGAGGGAAGACTGCACTATCTTATATGAAGGGTATAAACATATTTAGTCAACAAGAAACTGGCTCATTTGAAAGTTTTATGGCAAACAAGGACACAAAGTAGTTTGCATAATTTCTTATGTTCCTTTTATAGTGTTTATCTTTTATAAGGCTCTTTAGAACAGTTGTTGGCCACCTGTCAATAATGTGGTCTTTCATAGACTCAACCTTTTATTGTTCTCATGTCCTTGACATATAAAAAACAGTCTTAGAAGAAGCCAATATTGAATATCGTAGACAAAATACTAATTTTAAATTTAAAAGACTGTCTCTGTGGACCGAAATAAAGAGAATTTTGAATGACATGCAGAAAATAAACACATTATGGAATCCTCCTTAGCAGGTATAAAAATAAATTCATTATTTTATGAACATTTTTGAAAAGTTAGTTAAGAATTATATTTTAAGCACTAATGTATAGAAAATGAAGCCAAGTAGCATTCATTTAAAAGTTTTATAGCAATTTTGCATAATTTTACATAATTCCAAGTGAAAATATTTGTATTGTGAGTCTATAAATATTCTGGGTTTATAAACAACTGCTTTAACTAATTTTCAGTGGAATAAGACAAGTAATATTTCCCGGTGTATATAAAATCTGTCAAACTAAGTGAAATAACTGTATTTTTTGACCTACATCCTAGAACTGTTTTGCATGATACTTAATGAATACAATTCTACAAATCTGTATGCATGCAAGAAGACATTTCCATTCAAAAGGGATTTTATTTAAGACCTTAGGTATAAAGCTGCCTGTTCTTTGTTTGCACAATTAGATTCCACGTTCCCTTTACATAATTAAGAACAAGAACAATAAATGAAGCATTTTGAAACAATGGAAATTATTTTTGTTCTTGTTAAAAAGCCGATATCCCTATACACACTCACACATACCACTCATCACCTTTCTAACATTGGCACTTCCCACTGTTAATAATGTGAAACTGGGGCTACAATTTAACATTTATACAGAGAAACAGTTAATATCACATTCTTCTATTGTACTTGGGAGAGGACTTTATGTTTTCCTTGATGGAGTGTAGATATTGTGCTTTCACATTGCACTTTAAAACATCTGTACTTGTTGTTACATGGTAGCTAATTGGGCTAACAATTCTTAGCTGTCAAGAGCCATTTTACAGTCCCCTTTCTGTTCAGTATGTGATTATTTTAAGACCGCTTGGAGGCCAGAAGTAGACAGCCCTTCATCGGGTGTACAGTTGCTAGGATCTGATCTTTCAAGAGGTCTGTTAATTGGACACACATGAAATACCCAAGGTACAATGAAAGATAAGACAGCAGTTAAAGCCTGGAAAGTGAATGACTTTTCTTTAGGTTCAATCGTGATTCTATTGCCACCACTACTTTCATTGGTGCCTTCATACATTTCTTTTTCCTTTAACCTCAGTGGGTATTTTTATAGATCTCCTTGGAATTTTCTCATAAAATTCTTTTCTAACTATCTTTTGGTTACTTTGAATAAAATAAACCCAGTGGTGTTATCTGTGAATAACTGGCTAATAGGAATCTGTGATAATATTGTTCAAGGGGAAATTGATAGGTTTTTGTAATTAGAATACAGATTTTCCTACAGTTACCTAGCAAACTTTAGAAATGCTTACCCATCAACGTATATAAAAATGTAGTTTAGGGCCTCCTGGTAGAGCAAAGAGTTAAGTGTCAGCACAATGAAGCTATCACCAGCCATTGCAGCATGAGTTCAATCCCCTGCCAGGGAGCTAACCCACATGGTGCAGCAGACCTCTCCTGTCTGGCCCACTGCTCCCCTCGGCAGTGTACTTTAGTAGATCTGCCTGTTCTGCTCCTGCTCCTCACTCTGTCTCTGGTGAATCCTCTCACCATCACCCCCACCTCTGACCTATACCCCAGTTCTTGGATGCATAAATAAAGTAAATTTAAAAAAAAAGTAGTTTCAATAAACACATGTGTACAGGTGCTCCTTTGAATCACTGTTTTTGTGTACTTTGGATAGATCCCTACTAGTGGAATTGCCAGATTGTATGGTGCTCCATTTTTAGTAGACTGAGGAAGCTCCAGACAGCTGTCCACAGTGGTTGGACCAGTTTGCACTCCCACCAGCAATATAGGAGAATTCCTTTTTCACTGCATCCTCGCCAACATTTGTTGTTGCTTGTTTTTTTGATATGTGCCATTCTTACTGGTATAAGGTGTTATGTCGGTGTGGTTTTGAGTTACATTTCCCTGATGATAAGGGATGTTGAACATTTTTTCATATGCCTGTTGGCCATTTGCATTTCCTCTTTGGAGAAATGTCTTTGGAGTTCTTCTGCCCATTTCTTGACTGGATTGTTTCTTTTGTTTTTGTTGAGCCGTGTAAGTTCTTTGTATATCTTTGTGATCAGTCCCTTATCAGTTGAATGGAGTGCAAAGGTTTTTTCCCAATCAGTGGGGTGTCTCTCTGTTTTGGTTAATGTCTCTTTTGCTGTTTATTGCAACACTATTTACAATAGGTAAAACCTGGAAACAACCCAAATGCCCAAAAATAGATGACTGGATCAAGAAGATGTGATATATGCACAATGGAATATTATTCAGCAATCAAAAAAGATAAACTCATGCCATTCACAGCAATGTGGATGGAGCTAGAAGGAATTATGCTCAACGAAAAAAGCCAGAAGGAAAAAGAAAAATATCGGATGGTTTCGTCTCTTCTACTCCGAACTCTTATTCCTTTTGTAATGAACTTCTCATCAAATAGCCAACATCTTCTAGTTAGACAAAATTAAATGCTTGATTTAAATATAAACATAGTCTTCATATTCATTATTTGTAGATCTTTTGTGTAGAAATATCTAAACCTCAAGTCCTAAAGTCTAGAATAAATCAGAATATTTGAAGTCAGAACCGGAATCTGAAATCCAGGATTGTTTTGTTTTTCATTCAAAATGTGAACTTGGTGAATCACTTTCCATTATTGTATATCCTGATATTCTCATGCATAAAGTGAATCAATTAATATAGTTTAGTATTTCATATTTTAGCAACAGAAGCCCTTTGTAAGACACAATCTTATGTATAATCTCAACATATATAAAAATTAATAATAATAATAATGGATCTCTTACAGAAACATCAATTGATAAGGAGATATTAGGATAGGGGTGAGGGACCCTGGAGCCCTCAAATCCTCTCTCCTATCCCTCAACTTCCCATATAACCTATAGAATGAAGATAGCTCTAAGATAAATCAATTAATTCCTCAAATTCTGTGGAATATATTTTGAAAGGCATGTAATTATATAACCTTTAATTTTCCTTAAAGTTCCAAAATACTGTAATTCTAAATTTTGTAAATTGATGTTTATAGAAGCATTGAAAATCATGTTATCTACCTTAAAAAATTATAAATGCAAATATAAGTAGGTTTCATTCTGTGCTGAGAATTCTAAGCTAAAGAGCCCACATTTCATACTAAACCACCCACTTAACTACCCCTTAAATCATCTCTATCATTCCTAATTGTTCATATTTAGAAAATGAATAAACTGATAAAAGTCAAAATACCCCTTTTATGTTCAGAAAATTGCAGAAGTCTTTAAGTTATATTTAACTTCTCATCCATTTTTATACTTCACTGGGGGAGGGACATGAGAAAAATTAATTTGGGGAGTAAATTTAAAGGCAGGATGTACTTCAATGAAGATTTTTCACTTCCCGCCTTTGGTGACCAGAAAGTAAACAATTTTTGTAAGGATGCAAATTTACAATTATTAGACTCTTGAAGTCCTGGTTTATAACAATAGAAAATGAGGTGGAAAGGAGCACATTCTACAACATAATTAATTACTAAGGAAAAAAAAAAGCTGCAGGATGCAAAGTTTTTCCAAAGGGGCCACCTCATTGCCAGTTACTGAAATGACTTCGATGGTTATGAGGCAGGAGTAATGGATTTTCACTGTGACTAATTCTGATGACCTTTACGAACAAGGTTTCTCTACATAACATTAAGGAAGTGAATACCAGAAAACTTAATAATCCCCAAAGGACCCAAAATGAAATTGTCCCAGCAGTTACCTTATATAGACTCTGTGACACAGTTCCCCTTTTGCAAAAACATTGAGTCCAGATCATTATTTTCCAGCAATCATGTACAGAGACCTACTTTATAACACTTTAGGGAAGTTAGTGTACTAGATCTTGAAATGCCTTTCTGGAAGGTGAAGTAACTTGGTTTTCTTCTAGTACCACTGTTAAATTAACTCCTGTATCCTTTTCAGGTCCATGGGGCCGATGCATGGGAGATGAATGTGGTCCAGGAGGAATTCAGACCCGGGCTGTGTGGTGTGCTCATGTGGAAGGATGGACAACATTACATACAAATTGTAAGCAGGCTGAGAGACCCAATAACCAGCAAAATTGTTTCAAAGTTTGTGACTGGCATAAAGAATTATATGACTGGAGGCTAGGACCATGGAATCAGTGTCAGCCAGTGATGTCCAGAAGCCTAGAGAAACCCCTTGAGTGCATTAAGGGTGAAGAAGGCATTCAGGTGAGAGAGATAACCTGTATCCAGAAAGAAAATGACATTCCTGCGGAGGATATCATTTGTGAATACTTTGAACCCAAGCCTCTTCTGGAACAAGCCTGCCTCATCCCCTGCCAACAAGATTGCATTGTGTCTGAGTTTTCCGCGTGGTCAGAATGCTCCAAGACTTGTGGCAGCGGGCTCCAGCACCGGACGCGGCATGTAGTGGCACCCCCCCAGTTTGGAGGCTCTGGCTGCCCAAATCTGACAGAGTTTCAGGTGTGTCAGTCTAGTCCATGTGAAACTGAAGAGAGCATGTACAGCTTGCATGTGGGTGCCTGGAGCACGTGTTCCATGCCCCACTCGAGGCAAGCACGACAAGCAAGGAGACGTGGGAAAAATAAAGAACGAGAAAAGGACCGAGGGAAAGGAGTGAAGGATCCAGAGGCCCGTGAACTTATTAAGAAAAAGAGAAATAGAAACAGACAGAACCGACAAGAGAACAAATTTTGGGACATCCAGATTGGATATCAGACTAGAGAAGTTACATGCATCAACAAGACGGGGAAAACTGCTGATCTCAGGTAATGTTTCATTACTCTTAACTAAACGTGTCTTGTCTGTTAAGACCATAGGTGAGAGGGTATTTAAGACATGCTGCGCTAAGTCCTAGAATTTGTATATGCATCCCCAAGTAAAACGTCTCCCACCTTAAGGCATTGAAGATTTTGTGGATTTCCTGACATTGTTCCTATTATGTTCAAGTGCTGAACTACTTGAGTTAATTTCAATTTTACTTTCAAAATCTATAGCATGAGCAATTCTCTATGAAATGATATTGCTTCTTTAGGTTGGTAGTAATGTTTCCACCTATAACTAGGAGACAGGAGTTTTGGGATTTTGAGTTCAGATAAGTATCTTGTCGAGAATAAGGCACACTCGTGATGTCTCCAAATTTATAGCATTTTCAGAATTACCCTATAAACAAAATCTATACCAAGGGAGCTATACCTAAGAATAATTCTTTTCACATTTTATAAAGTAGTGTAACTCTTCCCAGAGAAAAAAGGGGGACCAGCAGAAAATAAGGTAAGAGGAAGACACTCAATTGTGAATAGCTTCATTTAGAAAACATGTAATTAATTGGCTGCATTTTCTAGACAGAAATTATTTGTCAAATTATCTCTGGGCAAATAATGCATATATTATGAATAACTTTCTCCTGTATGACTTATTGTGAATATATTTAGTGAGGATTATTCATTGAAGATTACCTAAAGGATATGATGTTCTCTGGATATTCTAAATTTTGTTCCTGGATGAGCCAGACCATCTGGGAGTGGCTTATCTGGATCATTTGCGTGATTGCCTTTTCTGAAATATTTATGCAGTTATGATTCGAACTGAACTGAGAAATTATGGTAACAGCTCAGAATTGTATATCATATTTATTGTAGAAATGACACTAAAAGTGTCATCTACTCCATCACCCAGTCTGTTCGCTTGATTAAAAACACATTAAATAAATTTCACTGAAGTCTCAACCCATGTTTTCTGCAAGCAGCTGAATTGCCTTATAGCCCTGGAAATCTTGTAACAGATTCCATTTTTCTCTTTACTTTGGCTGTTGGCAATATAAATAGGACTGTGTAGCATGTGTGTTGTTTACTAACACACCCCACTGGTCATCTTTTTCTTACCCTTATGATTTTCCTTTACTCCTTCCTACCTAGTGATTTTGCTATCGATTTTTGAAAGCTGGCTTAAAGCCTTTTTTGGAGAAGGACATAGTTTAAATGAGTATCAAAACAAACAATTCATTTGTCTAAGGCAAATGAATTTCTCAGCATTGCTTTTTTTTTTTTTTTTTGATGCTATTTTGAGGATATTTGCTATAGCCTCTCCTTGTGCTTAAACAACTGTATTTTCCCTCAAGAGTAGATTTGCTCTTTCTCTATCTGGAGTCTTCAGTCTAGCTTCTTATCTGGTTTTTCGAGTGGCTATTCTTGTTCTACTGTTTTCATTCTACAGATTTCCTACAACCTCTGAAGTGTTTGTGTGTGTTAGTGTATTGTGTTTGTGTTCCCCTCAGATTCTGTGTCTTAAGCATTTTTGATTCCATCCCTGTCATATTCTTCTCTGAAAATCTTTGTTCTGGAGATTTCTTGATCTCTTTTCCTGAAGTATTGCTGTTATATTAGTTACTTAACTCCTACAAAGTAATTGAATGAACCTCCAAGGCAACTTGAGTTCTCTCCTGCTGTCAGTGAATTAATGTGCTGTAGATATTTAATTTCATCTTGACTACTCACTTAAAAGTATAATTAAGATAGTAGCTGCTACTGCATAGAACCTAATATTGCCATCTAGTTGAAATAAGAATATAGAATTTAAAATGTGTAGCATATCGCCTGGTACATATATTTCATTAGAAATATCTATTCTAATGCAGTTATAGTTGCGTGAATATTATAACTTAGGGTATAAATTAAACCTCATGTTAAACAAATTGGTTATTAATATTTCTCTTATTTGAGAATACATAGAAGAATATATATGAATAAACAGATACTAATTTAAAAAAATTAATTAGAAGTTAATGACTTAGGGCCTCCCTGGTGGCACAAGGGGTTAAGTCTCAGCACTGTGAAGCTGTTTGCAGCCACTTCAGCACAAGTTTGATCCCAAGCCAGGGAGCTAACCCACATGATGCAGCAGTCCTCTCTTGTCTCACCCTCTGCTCCCCTCAGCAGTGTGTTTCAGTCAATCTGCCTATTCTGTGCTCCCTACTCTGTCTCTGGTGAATCCACTCACTCATATTCCCCACACCACTGGCCTACACCCCAGCTTGTATATGCATAAATAAATAAAATAAATCTTTAAAAAAGTTAAAGACCTAGTGAACAAGTAACAAAATAAGAGATTTTAATCTATAATTTGCTCAAGCATTATACCATCAATGTCTCTAATAAAGTAAAGAATAAATGAATAACATCAATAGAGAATAATCAAGAACTTAAAGTATTTAACCTCATATCAAATTTAGAAATAATTTTGTCATGTAAGAGGATAAAAATAATACTTTTTATATATTTTTTAATTGAAGTAACATTGATTTATATATGGTCATATATGATTATATATGATATATATGATTCAGAGGTAAGAGGTAAGAGTTCACACGTCTTCAGGTTTATATCACCACAACATACCCACCACCAAGGGAGAAGAATAAAACATCATACTACAATAACTAAATTTACCTAAATAAACCTTAGGAATTGGTTCATAGGCAAATAAAATTAATTTTGGCAGAATTATTGCTAAAACTTCTGAGTTAAAGATGACAGATCTACCCCACTTTCTGTTTTTAAACAGACTAAAATCAGTAAGACTGAAAAACACAAAGGTCATTTTTATATGATGATAGGTACAATCACAGTCCTAAACCACATTTTGAATTTTTGCCCAGTGTGGTGAAAATAGACTTGAAGGAGGAAACATATCTCTGCAGCTTTCATGAACATTCAAAAATTCAAAAATTTCTTGAAAATTCAAAAATCACTAAGAGAAGCCTGGACTTTCTGAGGTTTGAAGTCAAGGAAGTCCTGAGCATGGTGTGATCTCTCTTTGTGAAATGGCTGCTGAAGCATCCTTGAATCCTGTTAAAAAAGAGAGAATGGCTCCAACTACTATGGAAAGCTGTGTGGAGGTTCCTCATACTACTAAAAATGGAGTTGCTATGTGACCCAGCAATCCTACTCCTAGGAATCTACCCAATGGATACAGGAGCATTAATTCAAAAGGATACCTGCACCCTTGTGTTTATTGCAACACTGTTTATAATAGGAAAGATGTGAAAACAACCCAAATGCCCAAAAATCGATGGCTGAATCAAGAAGACGTGGTGTATATACACAATGGAATACTATTCAGTAATCAAAAAAGATAAACTCATGCCATTCACAGCAACATGGATGGAGCTAGAAGGGATTATGTTCAGTGAAATAAGCCAGAAGGAAAAAGAAAAATATTGGATGGTTTCACTTATAGGAGGAATACAGGGGAACCAAATAAGGGATCAGGAAAAAAAATAATAACAATAAAAAAATTATCAGACAGCTATAAATCAGAGAAATTCTGCAGGGGAGGGGGAGGGAGAGGGATCAAACAGGGGAGGGATGAGGACAAGGGACTATGGTGATGGTGCACAGGTGAATTGGTGGTCGGAATTCTATGGGGACTACACCTGAGAGGAGAAAGAGGTACATTGTACAAAATTGAACAATGATGTAAAATACATATAAATAAATAAATTACATATAAAAAAGAAAACAGAATGGCAAAATGGGCATTATTTCTATGTAAAATATTGATGTTGGCATATTAACTTTGTGTCCACCCACTCTAGTGAATAATTTATGGTTTATAATTCGTTTTCAATTGATTATCTTGAGTTTTTTAAAATATCCAGGAAAAAATATTAATTTTTCCACCTTTTTCCCAGTTTTTACTTTTTTCCCTTATAACTATATTGACTAGTATGTACCAATTAACTTTGTATGATAATGGAAACAAAAGATTAAAATATTTCATTTACAATAGTAAAAAAAATTCTGGAAAGGAACCTTATTATAAAAATTCTAATACCAGGCTTAGGAAAAAAAAAATAGACCTGTGCCTATCTAGAACATCTATAAAACAATATACTATGCCACTGGCAGATATACATATACATTGTTACTGTAAAATTAATGAGGGGGAAAAAGCATGCAAAAAATACCAGAAAAATTCTGTAAAATAAAAGTATAAAAAAAATCACAAGATCATTAAAATACATTATATTCTACCACAATCACAAATTTATATTAGTGTGTGGATAGCCAGATTAAACAAAATAGGGTCTAAAAAACTGATCCCTAAGTCTATACAACATGTTGTTAGGGTAAGGGAGCATTTTCAGTTATTTGGGAAAATGACATAATTTAATCTTTTTAGTTTGTTTGGGGCAGTTGCTTCTTCCTCTAAAAGAATAAGAAGAATTAATACTTAAAAATGGAATAGTTTCCCTTTGTCACTTGTTATGCTACAGGAAAATCCAGGTTCATTTAATACTTTAAAATGTTATTAAATTCTGCAAGAAAAGAGACCTTTTAAAATCTTTATTCTTTGTGAGCCTTACCAGAAGTTTGTCTATTTTATTTGTTCAGAGAACCGGGTTTTACTTTCATCAGTCTAGTAGACTGTCTTTGATTTCTACTGCATTTATTTATGCAATTTTTATCTATTGGCTTTTGGTTAGGTTTTGTTCATCTGTGTTTCTAGTTCCTTGAGGTGGGTAATCAGATTCTTTGACTCCTTTCTTGTTTCTTAATAGAGACCTGGATTAGCACTACTTAGTACTGTTTTGGCTGTGTCCCATGGATTCTGGTAGTTGTGCCTCATTTTTATTTGTCTCAAGATATATTTTTTTAATTTATTCTTTGATTTCCTCATTAACCCAATAGTCACACAGTAGTGTGTTGTTCAGCCTCCATATGTGAGAGGTTTTTCCTGATTTCTTTTTGTGGTTGATTCTAGTTTG